CGCGCTCTGCAGGCTGCTGAAGGCGCCCGCGCCGAGCGCCCCGCCGGGCAGGAGGTTACTGGGACTGTTGAGCAGGGGGTGGTTGGGGGACTCCATGGAGCCCGGCGCGGGGTTCACCGGCGGCGTCGAGGGGGCCAAGCCCGCATTGGGGGACTCGGCGGCGCTGCCCTCGCCCGCGGCCGGGGTCTTGCGAGGGCTGCCCGCGCCTCCGTGGCGGCGCCGCGGGGCTGCGGGCGGCGAAGGCTGGAGCTGCGGGAGCGGGGGCAGGTCGGCCGGGCGCTGCCGCGGGGCGAGGTCCTGCGGCGGGAGGTGCTGCGGGAGCGGGCGGCTGAACGGCGGCGGCGGCGGCGGGCGCTGGACGAGCGGCGCCGGCGGGAGGAGCGGGCCGGGCGGCGGCGGCTTGGAGTCCGGAGGGTGGGGACGCCGGGCTGGGCTGAACTCTTTCCTCTTCTGGCTGCTCGGCGGCTGCTGCTGCCGCTCACTGAAGTCCTGCGGGGAGGCGGTGCGGCGGCGGGAGGCGGAGGAGGAGGGGGGGTGGTGCAGACTCGGCTGGAAGTCCTGGGAGGGGAGGAGGTGGGTCACACCCGCGTTCGTGCCGCCGCCGGGGTGCTGGCTGGGGCGCTTCTCCGCGGCCGCCGCCCCCGGGAGCGGCCGCGCCGGCTGCTGTGTCAGCCCCAGCAGCAGCTCATCCTGCATGGTCTGCTGATGCGCCAGGAACGGGGAGGAAGAGGAAGCGGCGGCGGCCGAGCTGCCCGCGCCGCCGCAGCCGAGGGGGACCGGGAAGGGGGAGGCGGCCTCCGAGAAGCCGGTGACAGGCAACGGCGGCGGCGAGAGGGGGCCGAAGGGCGTGGCGGAGGGCAGCGGGGCGTAGGGACGGGACGCCCCGCCGCCGGGTAGGGACCCCGGGCTGCTGCTTCGGAGCGGGGCCGTCTGCAGCACCCCAAACCCGAAGTCCCTCATTTATCAGGCCGGCGGCAGCGGGAGGAGACGCGCCCCGCCTAGGGAGCCGCCGATTCTGGGGCGGCACGGCCGTGGTGGAAAGAGGGGGAGTCAGTGAGAGGGGGACACCGTGACTGTGCCAGGGGCACCGACTTCGGCCCCACAGCCCCTCGCGGCGGCCGCCGCCGCCTCCCGAGACCCGCTCGGGCGCTGCCGACGCCGCCGCCGCCCTCCCCGCTTAAAAACCCCGGAACGTGCGTCAGCGCCACCTCACAATCGCACCGCTCCCCCCTCGGCGGTGCGTCCCGGCACGCGCGAGCGCAAGGCCGCCGCGCCCCCGCTGCCCCGCCCCTGCCCCGCCTCCGCCCCGCCCCTTATTCATATGCTGGCTCGGCCGGGGGCGCGCTCGCGCTCCTTGGAGGGCGGAGAGTGCGGGAGCGAGCGGCGCGTCCCCGTGCGGCCCATCTCGTGCCCAGCGAAAAGGAAAGACCCGTTGGGACGGCGGGCGGCCGGCCCACGGGGTGTGAGGGCAGGACGCGCGCGCGCGCGCGCATGGGGGTGAGCACGCGCGGGAAGGGCGGACGGTTTGGGGGCAACGGCCCCTCCCTGCGCGGGGTCTGTGCAAAGCCTGCTCCTGGTCTCCCGTCGCCCCCCCAACTCCAGTCTTATCGCGCTCGCTGCCCCGCCTCCTTCAGGTCACCTCTGCCCCACCCTCGGTCACGAGAGGCCCGGCCACAGGGATAGGGGCTTCCTAGGGTGGGACTGGCCCTCGAGGTAAACTGAGCCCGGGGAGTTCGACCGGGAGCGGCTGCTGGTGCCGGCGGCCGCGCGCGGCCTGCACTGCGCGAGCGGAGCGGGGATCCGGTCCCCCGCCCCTCGCTGTTTAGCACGGGTGTCCTTTGGCCAACTCGGCCGTGCGGGCTCTGCCTGCCTCGCAGACCGCCGGGTGCGTCGCCCACGCCGCTTGCCCCACCGCGGCTCCGACTCGGAGCCTTCCCGCTTGCCCTAGAAAGCGCCTTCCCCGGCTGGTTTCTGTGTTTAGCCTCTAGTGCGGCGTGCTGTCATCGACCTTCCTGCCGCCACGTGAAGGTAAACGTGAAGCCCCGGCTGTACACCAAACATTTTCACTCCGGTAATGAGGAACAAAGTCCCTGGAACCTAACACGGCTCCGTGTGGTTTTTTACACACATATATGCATATAATGGGTTCCGAGGCGGGCTCCCATGGTAACCCTGGGCCCGGTCCAAGTCTTCCTATTTCATAAAAGCATTTAATGTGCTAGCATCAGGATTGCTGTGTGGGGGACTCCTCCCCACCACATTCATTCTGGCATCCCCGCCCCTTCCCCCTAGGGAGACTAATTTAAACATTTCCGAAGCTTTATGAATTCGAGGGAGAAAGATTTCTCACATCGGGGGAAAAAAGGAGGTTCTGACTCAGCAGCAGACTTGTAGAGGCTTGCAAAATGGAAAGGGGCAGAGCTTTCAGTGCAGGGCTCTTGGGAGCAAAAGAAGAGGAACTGATCTTGTAAATTTCAAAAAGAAAAACTTTGTATAGAGAAATTATATGAAAGCATAGCAAAGTGGTTTTTTAAATGGTGTATATATGCTATATAAAGTATAGCAAAGTGATTCATATTGCATAATAAAATACGGAGTTTTTGTTCCTGTTTTGCTATTTTGACTTTTTCTGGGCGCTTATAGAATTGAAACTACCGAATGGATCCTAGAATATAGACTACTCCCCAAAGCAGAAGAAGGTAGATTCATACAACTTGATTTTGATTTACAACTGGACTAAGGTTAAATAGTGTTATAAATTAGCACACTTTTTCTGATGTAGGCAGAATGTACATTTTTATGAGTCTTCATTCTCTTAAATTTCATTTCCACTTTTGTTACTTCAGTGCTTCAAATTTATGTAAATCAAAATACATGCAGTAAAAAGAGAACAGCATTGCAAGAGGAAAATACGTTTTATGTGTAACGTGTATGTCTTATATCCTGCCTAATGAACTAAGTTTGATATTAACCTTTACAATAAAGAAAAAGTACTTTAAAATAAAACAAATAAATGATTCAGAAATTGGTCTAATGCATAGAAAATTAATTCAAATTAGCAATCTCAAAAGCATTTTTAACAATCAGGTAAAATATAGAGCTGGAAAAGTACTTTTATTCTAAATTACAATGTCTAGAAAATAAACGGAGCTCATTAGAATTAAAAATGTAAATGGCCATTTTCACAGCACCTATTGACACATTCTTAACTATAATTCATTAATGCATTTTACAGGGAAAAACTTTCAGCAATTGAGGCATATAAAGTCTTAAAAATGAACACTTTTTTTTGAAGTAAAGTTTGATTGGAATCAGCTGCGGACAAAACAAATCTTGAAAAAGAAAGGAAATATAGGCATAAAATGTAGTTCAATCACCCATTAAAATTGTAGTTAGTGCGATATAAGGACGAGAGCACACATTTAAAAGCCAAATGGTGCCATTCTGGGTTAAAGTTTGAACAAAAACAGTGTTTCTTCGTGTTGTTCTCATACTGGTTTTGTTTTAGAGGATTTAAAGCTCTTCAAAATGGAACAAAGCCATCAAGTTTGGTATTACGTAATAAGGTCAAACTTCATACTAAGTACACTGAATTCCAAAGTCCAACTGCCAGACCCTCCACTCACTGCTTTAACACCGCAGACAGTGTTAATGAAGGCCCCATTTTTCATAAGAGAAAAATTACATTCTGAGATCTAAAACTTTTAAGCTCCTAAGCATTCCATCATTGAAATATTCAAACAAAAAGGCTGCCTATAGCGGGAGTGGTGGTAGGGATGGAGTAGGTGTAGGTAGGCAGGGAGGGGTTGTGGTCCTCTAACAGGTCCAATGTGACGATCTTATGAACCTATATTATAATCTTTCTCACATGAAAATATGTTAACTATATGACTATTAACTTTGTCCTTGACTTTATTTGACTGTCCCTTGTTCGTTTCTTCCCACTGTCCTGGGCCAATGTTTTTAAAAATATTTTTTCTGCAACCCAGGGAAGACACACACACACACACACACACACACACACACACACACACACACACACACACACACGGCTAAAATAAAGCTTTTATTTAGCAATTCTTAATACATGCAACAAACTATTTTTAAATTCAATTTACCTTTTTAAATTGATCTCAAATCACTTAGTTGCTTTTGAGACCCACAATTAGGTCATGAGCTGAAATTTAAAAACACTGTCCTAGAAGAGTAGTTCACACCTTCTCCTCTATCTTAAAGCTTTCTCACACCTTCTCTCTTATCCTCATTCTCAGCTGCTGACCTGGCTTCCTATTAAGCTGAGAAAAGAGCAGTTATAGGAGAGCTGCCACAGGTCCTCACTGCCCCCTTTTCCAGTCACTCTGTCCCTTTACACGTCATCTTTACACATGCTCCTGTGTGAGGTCTAAGGCCTACCCATCCACTGCTCACGAGACCCTCCCCAGACTTGCTTAGGACATGGCTTCATAGACTTCCCAATGCCTCATGACATCCCGAATTTTACATGTCCAAAACTCAGCTTCCCCAACTCATTAACCCCTGTCTCTGTAAATGGCACGCCATTTTTTAATTGCTCTGGCAAACTTTGGGGTCATCCTTCTATTTTTCTTACAGCATATACAAGCTATCATTATATGCTGCTTGACCTATCTATCTTTAAATTATATCCAGAATCCAACCAATTATCACCACTCCCACCACAAGCAACCTGGTCCAGGCCATCCAGGATGTGCTTCATTGACAAAGGGAAATATCTAGAATCTTCCCCTGATGATAAAGTATAGCCTCAAACATAATAAAATGTCTTGCAGGTGGTGTCACTCTGCGTAGCACTTGGGAGATTTGTCACCCAACTGCAGTACTCACCTAAGAGAGAAGCCTTCAACCTCTCAGTAACTCCTTCCGTGATGCCCACTGGACACTTCTGTGGAATGCTTAACTGCTCCATGGTTTACTGCCTTTTATTTTCAGGCCTAGTCAACTTGACCAGATTATAAATATTTGAAAGCAGTGGCTATTTCTTACATACTCCTTTAGTTTCCTAGTTCTTGATTAAGCTATGTTTCTAGAAACTATTGAGTGCCTACTGTGTGCCAGATACTGTGTTCAGTACTGGGGCTAGGCCATGAACAAAACAGGAGACACATAATCTGTGTAATCAGAGAGGCTATAAATAAGTGTTTGCTGTTGATACTCGTTATGGTAATTCCCAGCCCTAATTGTCTAGACAGAGTCATAAATAGTGAGATTCTAGGCTGAAACTGACCTACAAAATTGGAGTCATGCATGCTGCAACATAGCCTTGCTGGGCTAGTCATGGGTGGAGCCCTGAGATGACTGTGGAATATGGAGGTGAGGCAAATTCAGCAGGAAGGCAGAAGAAATTACACACTGAAACACATTGTAATCCTAGCTCGAAATGGGATTTCCATTTATTATCTCCTTTACTTGTCACAATATACTTTGTGAGCAGAGAAAGCAAACAATATTCCTATTTTATAGTCGGAAAACCAAAGCCCAGGAACGAAGTAGTTTACCTCAGGTATTTTGTATAGCCTGTTCTTAATTGTCCTGTCTCCCCGTTTCTCAGTCTCCTGCTCCATTAGTTGTCCCTCAGGCTATCGCCAGAGATGTCAAGATATCTGAGCAAAACAGAGCCACAGTAATAGGCCCTAAAAAGCAATGGTTACTACTTCTACCAAAGGATAAGGCATAGAAAGGATAACCCCGAAGCCTTCTCAGCAACACCTGAGTAACAATTGGCCGTAGTGACCTCAGAGTGAAAGCGTCTTATTTTCAAAATACATATCTCACAAAACGATAGAAATACTCCTCAAACCTGCTTACTCATTTTTCTCCTATGAGAAGAATGAGACCTGGCTGTGTATATTGGATATATTGAATTTAATTCTTGTATTTCGCGTTCTAGGAAGCTAACTCCTTCAATTGATAAATTATTCTATGCAGAGAAAAGTGAAGGCACATTTTGACTAAATACTAAATATTTAGGTTTTATGGAGATGAAGAGTAATTGCATCTATCAAATTTGTCTTAATATTTTTAGAATCTTAGAAGATTAAAAATTTTAAATGTTAATTTTGGAACCCTGAGTGTTTCGTAAAAAAGAAAAATCAGGCAG